TATATAATAATAACCAGCCAATCTCGTTTCTCCCGCCCACCAGGGGGAGCTGCTGAAGGAATTCTGTGCCGAGGACGCCCCCAAGTATTTCGCCATGTTCGAGCGTCTGCTCAAAGACAACGGGACAGGCTACTTCGTGGGTTCCTCGGTGAGTGACGTCAAATCGGTTTGTTTGTTTTAGTAGAGGTTTTACGGTGCTTGCAACTGCATAAGGTCATATTTATGAGCGACAAGGGGTGGATGTCAACAGAGAAGTCCATACAGGGAATCAGGCTTTCTCTTCTCACCTCTCTAGCCTCAACAGCACAACGTCTGCTTCGACTATCAAGGCACCCCGGAAATAGCAGTTCACAAGAGTTTGACAAGCATACAAAATTAGTAGAGGAAAATGACGATAGTAAGGATTAATAAAGAAAAAGCAGCAGTTCCCTCTGTGTTGCTTTAGCACAGTATGAGCATCACATTGATAAATCAGCTCATTTACAATTCTACTGTGCATAAGAACTGGATGTTAATATCCCCCCTTTTGGGAATGGCCTAAAGATACTTCAGTCAGTAGCTCTGACGTGGCGTCGGTGTTCTGCTCTGACTGTGTATACACTACTTACGACGAAACACAAAACTCTATTTCTGGCTCTAATGATGTAATTCACAACCGTAAATGCAATTGGTGATGCTATAATATTTAATATGACAAGATGACAACATGGCTAGTCGCAGCAAGAACAACAGACACCATTGCTGCAACGCAATACAGAGTGAAGTGGAGGTTCATGATCGCCCACGCCAGTCGGCAAGGCACCTGATGATGATGATAATATTTAAATACAGACAATGCTCCACACGATATTTTGAGCAATTAATTCTTCAGATCGGGAAAGTGCTCTTTGAATGTTGAAAATAAATGGTCGCTTGTAAGGACAAGCTGGCTAACCCAGATTTCGGGGGGTTTCCTGAAATTTTGACCTACACCAAAAGTGGGCATTGCCCTACCTATAGGAGAAGTTTAGTTTCAATGGTGAATATATTTCTTTGGTTATTGAGAAAACTCTCCGTGTCTTTTAAGAAACTGAACAAGGGACAAAAACTTTATCTTCGATTTTCTCAAAACAGCATTTTCGGGATAGCCCCCTTGTGCTTTAAAGCGACCATATGTATATATACTTATGAATTAAAACGCAGGCCTATGGATTATGACGATGTATCCATGAATCATGGCGATATGCACCAATAAATGTGAAACATTAAACAATACATTAGAATAAAACAAAATAATGACCATCCCCTGTTCTTCCTCCCCCTCCCCCCCCCTTTCCCCACCTCACAGTTGACCCTAGCAGACTTGGCCCTCTTCGACTTCGCCACTGGCCTCAACAACATGAGCCCTGGAGTCCTGGACAAAGCGCCCGGAGTTGCCGCCCTTTGCCAGAAAGTTCTGACCAATGAGAAGATCAAAGCCTACGTGGACACCCGGAAACCCCTCTCCATCTAGATTGTGACGTCACACTCACTGTCGCTGCTTCTGCGATGACGTCACACACTGCAGGCATAGAGGATGAAGAAGAAAGAATACTCGGAGGAAGGATGGAGAGAGAAAAGACTCGTCGTACCTGATAAACTTTAATCCTTCCCTGTGTTGACCAAGTTTGTACCCAGCTGCGCTACACTGGTCCACTTTCGGGGACGTCAAAAGATGAATCATTTTTTACGTTGTACTTTTGCTTGCTTGGATTTTTCTGGATTTTATCATTTGTGATGGCGTCACTGGCGCCTCGTTTTGGGTTTTAGTTCTCAGGAAAAGTATGTAAAATCAAAGTTTACCCTCACCCTGCCCCTCGCCCCCCTCACCCCTGCCCTCACCCCGCCCCACCCTATCCCTTTCCTGCGTCACGATGACGACATTCCGTAGTTTCCTGTTCTTGAGAAACATAACTGTGACTCTCACTACTGTGACCCCTGCACTGACCCCAGACGTTGAGCACTGGATCAAGCAGTTCAAAATAGTGGGGTACAGTGTGGAGGTATACAATACTTTTACCGAGTTTCATGTTCTCGCCACATAAAGCTATACCACTCAGGAGTCTTATTACACCACGGTTCTTTTTTTTTTGGCGGATGGGTGGGAGGAAGGGGGGGGGGGGTAAAAACAAATGTCGTACACTACTTTACCCAAGCCCTGTACGTTTTTCTTGTAGATGGTGGTAAAGCAAACATTTCCTGTAAACTATTACACATTTCCTGATGTATTATTTGTTTTTACTTTTAATACATTTATCGAAAAACAAATTAAACGTCTTTTTATGTTTACTAAGACTATATATTGTTATATTCTTTTGTAGCGTATTGTTCTATGATTTAGCATCTGTGCATATGTGTGAATGATTTACTGTAAAAGTATCTCAGGCTAAGGAGGGTGCAACGTTATCCAATCAAAGGGATCTTCTTCTTCTTCTTGTGTCCGTGGTTAGGGCAACCGTGGGAGCACCACTGCATCTGAAAAAACAGCTGTCGCCTCTTCTTTTTGTCCTCTGCTTTCCTCAGATTGTCACCCATCGTCTTCCCTGTCCACTCTGTGTGTACGGTTCCTTGTAACTGCTTGCTAACTTGCGTATTATTTTGAAATGAATTGGTAAAGGTTTAACGTTTAACGCCCCTATCAACACTATTTGGTTATTTAAAAGGCGGGACCTCTGAGTTCAACGTCTATGTCCGAAAGGACCGAGCCAAGTGGGAAATTCGTGTAAAGTGCCTTTCCCAAGGACACGACGTCGGACGCGGACATACTCGTTCAATGGGATGGGGATACTCAATTCAGAAAAAAAGAAGCCCTTCCTACTCAGGAACCGAACTCGCAAAGACGAAGAGCTCGACTGCTGCAGCACTGACGGAGATGTTAATTATTTTCGTAGTTCTCGTTCGAGTTTTACGGCACTTGCAACACGATAAGGTCGAATAAGTGCCGAAGAATAAAAGTGTTACAAGAGAGTAACGTATACAAAAATAAGGAGGAGAAATAAGGACGATAGATGTTTGATAGGAAAGATGGAGCAAATCAAACCATAGCTCCCGCCAACTACCCACTTGTTAAAAATGCTTTGAAATGAAATGGTAAAGGTTTCACGCCCCTATCAACACTATTTGGTTATTTAAGAGGAGGGACCTCCGAGTTCAACGTCTATGTCCGAAAGGACCGAGCCAAGTGGGAAGTTCGTGTCAAGTGCCTTTCCCAAGGACACAACGTCGGACAGAGCTGACACTCGAACCCCCCGAACCCCCAAGTTAACTGCTTTGATTGGAACCCAAAGCCCTAATGGAAACAAGCAGCTTATTAAAAGCTTCCCCGTCCCCTCTGAAGTCTCTCTGCTACTCCCTTTAGTCCATGACTAGTCTGTGTTGGTAAAAGTGTACTTGAGGCCACCGTTCTTAAAACAAGTCAAAACTATTTTTTTTTTGCATGACGTCATGGTGACCCCATATTGGTCCCACTTGATCAAGTTGCTTGTTTGTTTTAGTAAGCTTTTACGCGCTCGCAACTGCAAAAGGTCATATGAGCGCCAACAGAGAAGTCCTAACGGGGAATCAGGCTTACTCTGCTCACCTCTCTAGCCTCATCAGCACAAAGTCTGCTTCGACTATCAAGCCACCCCGGAAATAGCAGTTCACAAGAGAGTGACAAACATACAAAAGAAGTAGAGGAAAAATGACGATAGTAAGGATGAAGAAAGAAAAAGCAGCAGTTCCCCCTATGTTGTTCCAGCACAGTATGAGCATGACATTGATAAATCAGCCCATGTACAATTCTACTGTGCATAAGAACATATTAATATCCCCCCCCCCCACCCTTTGGGAACGTCCTAAAGACAACTTCAGTCAGAAGCACTGCCCTGGTGGTGGTGTGTGTGTGGGGGGGGTGGGGGTGGGGGGGGATCAAGTTGACCACAGGTGGATGTTCCCTGCTGTGTTTAGTACGGGTTCCCTGGTATACAGGTCTGGGCTTGTTTGCAAGGCGTGAAGCAATATTGAGATAGAAATGGTCGATGTCCTCCTAACAGTTAACTTTAGCACTGGTCACAAGAACTCTCTCCACCATAATCTGGCGAAAAGCTTTTCGAAACCCTTGAGGGTCAGGATTACCCTGTGACCTCCTGTCCATCCGATGCCTGGAAATTCTAAGTTTTCACAACAGTCTTGGTTGAGCTTGCCAGAGAGCATGTACTTGATATCACAGACAACCCAAATTAATGGTTTTCAACCAGCCTTTACTACAAGGCAGATTCTCGTTTTTCTTTCTTGCTGTCATCGTTTCCCTTATATTCAAGATGTTGCTGCTAAGACATTGATAATAATAATAAAATAATGATAAAATTGTTTTCATAAAAAAGGGAATCTGGAATGATGTGGGGGTTATGGCGTGATTATACCGTGTAGACAAGTGCCCTCTGTTGGTGTTGAAAGCATTAAAAAGACGGTCAAATTTCTGAACAACAAAAAAAGTAGTCAAATGTGTGTCAGCAGGAGATGTACGGACCTGACGAAGGAAAGCAGTTCCTGGGGCAACTGAGTGGCCTAGAAATTGGGAAGATAAACTGACTCTCTGAAGAGAAAATGGAGGTTCTATATTATGTTTTGGAGCTGTTTGGAGGCCATTCTGAAAGGACAATTTTTAAAAAAATAGAATACCTTCCCAACGCTCCATGACACCACCCCTTCACTTGTAACCCCCCCCCCCAACCAACCAAAAAACCGACCAGACAAACAAACAAACAAACAAACAAACAAAAACTGACTAACTAACTAACTAACTAACTAACTAACTAACTAACTAACTAACTAACTAACTAACTAACTAACCAACCAACCAACTATCTAACAAACAAACAAACAAACTAACTAACAAACAAACAAACAAACTAGTCTCGCTAAGTTATTTCTTATGTCCTTGAGAAGATGTGTGTGTGTGGTGGGGTGAGGGTGGGGGTGGGGGTGGGGGTGGGCTGTCAAACATGACAAGAATAAGAATAGTGTCCTCAAGATGTTCAAAGGAAGGGTCTGTCGGTGTCAAGGGTTACGCCAAGTCGACGGGAAACCGCACGATTGTTGGTACCTTGGTCACAGAGTATGACTTTCACTTTTCAACCAATGTCTTCGTGTACTAGCTGCTCCCAACGGAAAATCTCCAGAATTTGAAAGCGCACAGCAAGCTTATATCCTGTAGAATTCCACCTACAGTACTCAAGTGCTTATTTCTACTTTGTAAATAGTCTTCCGGCAAGAAATACAGCGGTATGGTCCACATATTTATTTTAGTTCGCCTACCCAGCAGACCGAAATCTTCAAAAGATTCTACAAATTAAAATTCAGTTTTGTAGGTCAGAGAAGTTTTGAGGGCTGATTCATGACAAAACAAGCCGCACTGTTTGTCAAAGTCGGTCATGTAATGTTTGCCACAATTGGTGTTAACCCTATCCGTACGCCATGGGGTCATTTTGTACCCCAGTGGTTGTATTCTTCACAGTTCAGAATACTTGTAGTATGAAGATCTCCTTAAAACTTTCAGTATTTCTGAAAAAAATAATTTTGACAGACTGCTAGGCCAAGCGTACGGATCGGATTTACGAATAAATTTCCTCTTTGGAAAGTGGTGGCACAGAGTTCCCCACGTCGTATGGATACGATAGCAAAACACGACGTACGGAGAGGGTTAAAATATTCACAAGAACTTTGGGAAACCCAGGGAAGAGAACGATGTTCTTCAGGGGGCTCTCATGACCTAGAGGTTAAGGTGTTGGCCTCTCATTCAAAGGTCCCGGGTTCGAATTCGGATAGGGACCGAGAATTTTTTTTCTCTAAAATTGTCTCCTCTCACCTTCTTTCCAGCTCTCCAGCAATGTTCTGTCGTCTGCTTTCGTCTCTTCTTTCTGCCCCTACCCCCTCACTTCCTTTGCCCCCCTACTCTGGGCTCCTGACTCTTTCTGCTGCCTTTCTTCTGCTACTCCTTGGCTACTTCTTACTGTTGTCTTTCAGCCACACCCCTGATCTTCTGGTAGGAAAGATCTACACCTAGCCTTCTCGGACAAGGGCGAAAAATCACAGAGGTCCTGTGCGCAAGTTGCGCACGTTAAAGATCCCTTGGAGGTCTAAAATCGATAAGAGTAGGCCTCAGCCGCCACCCGGGCAAAATTCAAAATTTCCTACCTACTGAAAATGTTTAAAGTGTCCCGCGCGCTCATACGACCTTATGCAGTTGTGAGCGCCGTAAAACACTTACCAAAAAAAAAAAGAAAAAAGAAAAAACCCCACAAAGAGGACAAGATGTTCTTCATTGATGTTTGTAACGTTTTGACGAACAGAAAGGCGAACATCTGTCTCCAGAGAGGCCTGTAAGCTTTTGTGGATGTTTGGTACTATGACAAGGCATGGCCTTCTAATCTTTTATTAGACATTCCCAGTTGCCTGCATAAAAACCTTTTTTTCACACGAGATACCAGGCAAAACAGAATAACACCAATAGCCAAGTTTTGACAAGATGAGAGTAACAGAGCATACGTGTAATATTACTCGAAATAACGTGTCCCATCCCACTGATTCTTCTGAGATCAAGGTTCATACTAATACACCGAGTGACATGATTTACTTGAATCATGAAAATGTCTGAATCCAAATGGATACCAAGGTTCTGGGCCTTGCTGAAAAAGGACATTCTTGTAACTGTAATTTCAAATTGGTTTCTTTCTTTTTTTTAAAAAGATTTGAAAAACTCTCAAATGGGATGGATTCTGTTTTTTTCATTACAGATTGCATTTCATTGATTTGATTTTAACACATCCCTTTCTTTCATCTTCCCAATATTTTTCTCTACACGTGCGTATTGTGTTTGTGTGCGTGTGTGTGTGTGTGTGTGTGTGTGTGTGTGTGTGTGTGTGTGTGTGTGTGTGTGTGTGTGTGTGTGAGGGGGTGTGTGTGTGTGTGCGTGTGTGTATGTTTGTTTGAGCGTGTAGATCTGTATGTGTGTTAGTAAGTACTCGAATATGTGTGTGTGTGTGTGTGTGTGTGTGTGTGTGTGTGTGTGTGTGTGTGTGTGTGTGTGTGTGTGTGCGTGTGTGCGTGTAAGTGTGTACTCGTAAATGTATGTGTATATGTATATGTGTATGTATGTATGTATGTATGTATGTATGTATGTATGTATGTATGTATGTATGTATGTATGTATGTATGTATGTATGTATGTATGTAAGTATTAATGAATGTATGTATGTATATATGCATGTATGTTAGAATATATGTATGGGTGTATGTGCGTGTGCATTTGTGTG